TCAGGGCAAGGCACAGATCTCTCCCATGCATAGGACAGCAGACTTTGCAAGAGTATTTTTGGGGTGCTAAAGTTCTACTTTTTCTACATAATTACATTAAAACATGGAATTTTGTGATGAAAGCCATACTTACAACATTGAAAGCTTTTTAAAAGTCTGTATTCACAACGAGCTTAGCAGGAAAACATGTGTGTGTGCAGGAATGGGAACCTGATGCCTGCAGCAAGTCTCAGCTCATCCTATTTGCAAATATAAGTTCAGGTTTGAAACTCTTAACTCAGTGCTCAGTCTCTCATATTCGTGTGAAAAAAACCTTCCAGAATCAACTCAAGATTTCTGTTGTCAGAGCAAGGCCACGAACTGAGTGCCACTTCTAAAATCTCAAGGTGCTTTGTGTTCTTCATGTCAAAAATAGGGGGTGAGCAATATGAGTGATGGCTGTTACTTCTCAGTACTGAAGCGAGGAGTCCTGCCTGTTTGTACCGAACGCAGCATCAGCAAACCTGTGTGTGCAACCAAGCCCAGGCATTTCAAAAGACTGAGGCGTAAGTCACCAACCAGCAAGGGAGGTCAGGAAACCAGAAGACATTGTAGTCCATTCTAGTCGCCTTCTTTCCTCTTGCTGATGTCCCACTCTTTAGGACTTGGTTCTCGAGAGCCTTTCCCTGCTGAAGGTGCTCAACGTTCACTTTTGTTTTTACCTCTTTTGTTACTCTGAGCTTTGACTCCAAAAAATGGGATTTATTACTACAGAAAGTGGGATAACTGGGAAACTCAGTGATGGCTTGAGACTCAGGCTGAGGTCAACAAGAGTGAGCAAAAATACTACGTAGAACAAAACAGGGATACAACAAATAAGAACACCCAACATATTTATACCTCCTTCATTAATGAGATAGAAAATGGACACAACCCCACAAATCCTCTAATGAACCTAAAGTGTGAACAAGAGAAATATGATTCTATATCAGTGTACAAGGATATATAAGGGTAATATGTAAGGATACGTCCTGCAGAGGGAGCAGTAGCTGTGCCCCGTGGTTGGAAGGAGCTGTGGGCACAAAAGGCAGCACAGGGTGGGGAATGGCAGGGACAAGGGGCACAGACACCTTTGTGTCCTTGTTTTGGTTCCCAAACCTGCAGTATTTGGCTCTGTGCGGTGTTCAGACGTTACAGATCAAATGCTGCACAAATCAGATCTCTGGTTTTAGGGGAAAGCTCTGAGCGAACGACAAGGATGGAGAAATTTGGGCTTTTGTCCACGTGTGTCTGTGGAGCTGCTTTTCATGGAATCCCTTGGGAATATCCTGGGGGGGACTGTCGTGGAAGGGACCCACAAGGTTACGTCTGAGTCTGATCCTGGCTGCACACAGCACCACCCAAACCCTGCATCTGAGAGCTGAGCTCAGGGCTGTGTTTACAACAAGTGCATGCTGTAGAAGTTCTCTCAAGACCAACAGCTGGCAAAGCTGCTGCCTGCTGGGCTCCTCTGTTCCCATTTTCAGCATGCTCAGGTGGTGCGGGGCTGTTTCAGGGCACATGGGGAGCTTTGCCAAGGAGCATGCAAAGGAAGGCTGTTCAGCGTGGGTGACTATTCCCCTCCCCCCTTTTTTTCCTTTCTTTCCCCCCAGACGGAGCCTTGGCACAACTTCTGGATCTCCTACGTTGCCATCTGATTGCGGCGCTCGTCTTGTGTGGCACTTGGCACCAAGTGAAGGACTTTTAGGCAGGTTTTTCACAAGTAACTGCGAAGTCTCTGCACGGTGAGAGCTCTGGAATTCACTTAGAAGGCAATGATAACTCCAAAATCTGCTGAAAAAGTAACCCTGGTCTCATCCTCTTGTGGCAGCCTGAAGCTTGGGCAGGTGAGGCTAGGCAGGCCACTCAGGGATGGACATGAAGAATTGTGAGACTTTCTCCTAGTGACCGGGAAAGGACTGAGCGGAGGAAGTAAAGTAGGATGTTTAATTAACAGACTGAGGTAATGAGTGCATGCCCAGCTTCAGGACTGCTGGGAAGGTACATAAGTCAATGGGAAGGGCCAGGTGAGGTTTGGTAGATGTTAATCCTGTGCTTTGTCTGCTGAATCTCTGCTGAGATGAGCAGGCACTGGTTATGTGATGCTGGCTGTGGGACACTGCAAGCTTGGGAGAGCCTGGTTGGGTTTAATGCTCCGATTTCCCCAGTATGTGGATCCTGCTCTTAAATAACAGCAGTAAAGCTATTCTACATTCTAATGCATGATGGTGTGATAAATGTCGTGAAACTGAATCCCATCTCTTCTAGAGCACCAAGGATTTGGGGGGCTTCTGCAGCTGCCCAATCCTGGGGCAGGAGAGGAGAAATGCTTCTGGGCCGGGGCTGTGCCAAGCCTCCCCTGTGGGCAGGCTGTAGGTGAAAAACAAGCGGGTTTGTTCCATGCTGAACATGCCCACGTCTTGTCACACAAATGTGCAGCGTGCATGAAAACAAAAAACAAGCTGCAGATGGACACCGGCAACCTGTCACTAAGCACAAGCCTCTAGATTGAAAATAAACAAAATGCAGCAGCTAGAGACTCCTGAATGGGATCTGCACTACTTCCATCGCACGTATTGCCGTGTACTGATCATCGTCTTCAGCCTGGGCTTGAGTAGAAGAGCGGGAGCTGGATGAAGTGCCCAGCTTTGGGATCAACAAGCTGCTCTCTTGCTCCATCGTCTGTGCTGGTGTTGAGAGTAATCAAACTTCATCAGCACATAAAACAATTTGTTGAATGAGTCATAAACTCCTACACTTGTTATCAGCACCGTGGCGGTGTGTTCGAATGGGACAAAGCCCCTGGGAAATGTCAGCAAGCTTGGCCAGAGGAGATTCCTAATAAGTGTACCAGGCTCTGAGTTGCAGAACCCAGGTCTGTGTGTGCCCAGAGCAATTAACAGGAGCAAAACACGTGTATTTCCAGTCATACACACTGTGGTTAAGAGAGATATTTAGATGACCATCAAATTCAATTATTTCTTTATTAGCAATGTACAGAGACATTTCTACAGCTCTGTAATTAATTTTAATTGTGTCTACGAGTTGACTTCTATCAGAGTTTCAAGTCAGATGCTGCCTGTATGTCCCACAAGGAGGAACACAGCTGTGGGTGTATAGAGAGGCAAAAAGTGAAGGTTTGGTGACCTGCGCTACTCTAATGCTTTGTTTGAAATTTTCTGAGCACAGAGCTCCTCCAGAGCACGTCCTGCTGCTCCCAGGGGCTGCATCTGGGACCTCTGCCCTTCAATACAGAGCCCAGTGTTCGATATTCCCATCTACACAAAAAGAAATGGAAAATGGAATTGACATCTGGTCCCACAGATGTTTTCTCCTTTACCATGATGTCTGGGAGAGGTGTGAGGGCCTCGCAGATGTTCACGGTTTCTCACTGTGGTTGGTTGGGGTTCCTTCCTCTCTCACTACTTCTCTCGGTGCTGTGGAGCCTCAGAACATGCCAAGGAGTTTCTCAAGTGCATGAACATGAGAGCAAGTCGTAGCAGATGGGGGAGAGGCCTTAGAAGGTCTTTCTGCTGGTCTCTAAAAAACCTGGAGAAAGACAACAGTAGCCTGAGACCCAACCGCTCCTGGTTCCCACTGTTATGGAGGTGACGTGTGTGTAAGTGCCATCAGGTCAGCTTTGGGGCTGGGCTGGGGAATGGAGAACACTGTAATGCAGGGACAGGGCCAGAGCAGGGCATGTCCTGCACATCCCTAGGGGAAATGGTCTTAAACTGAGACAGAGGAGTTTCAGGTTAGATATTAGGAGGAAGTTTTTCACCCAGAGGGTGGTGATGCACTGGCACAGGTTGCCCAAGGAGGCTGTGGATGCCCCATCCCTGCAGGCATTCAAGGCCAGGCTGGATGTGGCTCTGGGCAGCCTGGGCTGCTGGTTGGTGACCTGCACACAGCAGGGGGTTGGAACTGGATGAGCACTGTGCTCCTTTGCAACCCAGGCCATTTTGTGATTGTATGATTCTATGATTCTGTGCTCATCTGCCTGTGCCATGACACGGACAATCCTGCATGGCATCAAAGTGTTTATGTTGTACAGTATTTTAACACAACTGGTTTTGAAAGCACTAGGTGTTGAAGCAGAAAGCACTGTTGTGAAGTATAACCTTTACCACGGCTGAGAAAATATTTACCCTGTTTTTGTTTGCTGATGAAAGACCATCTAGTGGTGAAGGAAAAGAAAAAAAAAAAAGCAGCAAACTGTGCTTCTTTTTAATTGCAGCCTGACTTTTGATCAGATGTGTATTTGGGGTTGGGGGAGGGGAAGGAAAGAAAAAGAAACAGACAGAGATGTGGCTTTGTGTGCGTTCTGCACTGCATTATTATTCAGTAAGCCCTAAACCACAAAAGCTCCTCCGGGAAGGTTCATTATCACGTTAAGCACCAGGTAGGGAGGGGATGCGTGGCTGGCAGCAGCAGATGATATTTCACTTTGTTTGGGTTTGTCCCCCTCCCTTTTGGGGGCTGTAGAAGAAAACAGAAGAAGTTCAAGGTGCAGTTGCATGGAGGAAAAAAACAACAACACAAAACAACCCCAAACCAACAGAGCAGCAAGAGGCGAGTGAGTGCAGTGCAAGGTGCTGGAGGCACGTGGCAGCTCCACGGGCATCTGCTCAGCATCGCCCCGGCACCTTTGTCTGCCCACTGCAAGGAGCAGGGATGCGGGTGTGTTTGCTTCCCAAATTACTGATTTGTGATGGTTCAGTTTGGGGGTGCCCCACTGAGCCAGCGGGGAGAAAAGGAGACAGGGTTTGGTGAATAGAAGGCATGAGGTGGGTTTCAGGTGAATGGCAGTGGCTGCTTGCTGACCATATCCTGGCAATCAGGGTTGGGTGTTTTTAAACCTCTCCAAAAAAAGACATAGGCCATATTCTCAAAGAAATAATGCGTTGTTCCCTCCCCTCGCCCCCAAGTAGTGCATAAGACATTAAAACACGTTCATTCTGCTTAGTTCACCTGGTTTTAGAAATTAAAATGCCTGCGTGGATTATGCATATGGGTTAAAAAATCCTCTTCTTCTTGCGAGGGAATTCCACGGCTTCAGGAGTGACTGCCTCCCCAGTTTGTGCCTTTAAAAAAATGCAGAGATACATCACTTGCGCGTTACATTTTATTGATGTTACTGTAAAAATACATATTTGCTTGCATTCCTAATTGGGGAAGCACAGATGGCAGTGGCTTCTGTTGGAGCGATATGCTCTTTAAAATATCTGCTAACATTACAACAGCGTACAGTCATTAAAATGACTGCGTGCCCGTATGCGACAGGAGTTTCGTGCTGGGGAAAACAAGTTTCTCTCTTCTTTAGGGAGGGAGGCCTGGATTAACCCGTGCTTGTGCTCATGCCTGGCGCACGGGGATGAGCCCAGCAGGTTTGGGATCACCTCTCTGAGCAAAAGAAAAGGATGAGCAAGGCGGCATGGACTGCAGGTAGCTCCTCTTCTTTAGAAGAGCCCTTTCGTTCCCTCTTCCCATCCAAACCAAGCTGTCACAAGCAACTGCAGAGCAAGTGAGCAGCACTTTGCAGAGCGCCTGCAATGTGTTGGCAGCAAGCAGCCAGAGCACGCCAGGAGTGGGGGTTGCTCTCAGCAAACTCATTTTACAAGCAGCTTTGCTCAGGAAGCCGCTGCAGGAGGGTATCTTGTACTCTGTGACACCTTCCTATCTCAGAGAGTTTGCTTTTGAACCAAGGGGTTTTTTGGCTGATGCCAGCAATTCTCTCCTGTCCCCTCTAGTCTCCTGGGTCAGAGTGGCAAAGGAGCTGTACGATGGTATATAATGGTGACAGGCTCACTGTAGGGCTCTAATAGCAGGCTTGCCCTCTGATCAGCCATAACTGGGCTGGGAGCATCATGGATATAGATGCATCTGATAGTTAAACACGGAGTGGGATTTGCTAACTGGTTGGTTCCCCTCCTCTTCTATTTGGGAGTTGAACTTAGTGGAGAGAGAGAAAGGTTTGGAGGATTTGGAGGGCAAGAAGGAAAGGCATTTCTAGCCCTAGCTCAGAGTTTCCCTGGTGGCAGCACAGCTGGATGCTTGCTTCTGGAGGGGGAAGCGTTTCTGGTGGGGATGTGGTGTTCTGCAAGGCTGGTGGGGAGGCTTCAGTCAGCTGGGCGCCCGATGCCCGAGCCTCGCAGTGCGCATCGCCCCGCAGGGCTGCTCCCTCTTTGAAGTCAATAGAAAAATTATCCTCTCCTTTGATGCACTTTGCATTGGGCCTTTCAAGTCACGTGAAAGACACCCGTGTTATTAAACCACCGGCAGCAGAAACACTCTGTCGGTTACATCGGCTTTTATTTTTTAATGGCAGTGGTAGGTTTAGCCTTGGGCACTATCTGAGGCTCATAAATAACGTATGTCAAGTGTAACACACCTACAGAAGAGCCACAGAAGGCAGAAGACTTGGCTGTTTATCTCCCTGCATTTTTCAGTAACGAGCCACTCGTACCTTAGGAGGGGTGGATGTCCTCTAGCATTCATTAATAAAGCATCCTCAAACAGCCAGCCTTCTCCTTGATCGTGCAGGGCTAATGCGATAAATATCTTCTTTCCACGCTCTCCTGACAACTGAAAGACAGGAATGCAGTCTAACTTAAAACAGCGGTCATGCAAGAATATTACAGATTTCACAGCACGGCAAAGCCAGGGCTTCCCGTTTGGGAAGAGTGGGGCATTTGGCAGGAGCGGGTCTGTAGAGAGTGTGCTTGCTGTAGGATGACTGGGGATGTCAGCCTGAAATGCTGCTCCAAAGAGGGTTTGTTTTGAAGCTGTTTAACCCCTTAAAAGGGAAGAAAGAAAGAAAAAAAGAAAACAAACAAACAAAAAAAAACAAACGAGGTCAGCCATGAAAGGGAATTTAGTAGCTGTAGCTCATCCATAAATATTTGCTTCTGCTCCCAGGTGGCTGATTCCTCTGGTTTGGCTCTTAAAAGAAGAATACTCATGGTGCACTCCATTTAAAACCATCCTGCTTCCAAAGCTTGTTAACCACCCGATGCTGGTAGCAGGGAGAAGGGCCAGGAAGGACATGACCGTTCCCCATAGCTGCCAGCATGCTCCCGTGCTGCCCCAGCAGACGGCTTTGGATTTGCAAAGGAATTTTACCATCCAGGGTGACCTTTAGTTCGTAGGAGACAACGCTTTCCTAGTGGTGTCCTTCTGTTACAGCTCGTTTCCATTTCCCCTCTATTCACTTTTGTCCTTCCCAGCTGGACCAGTGACCTCACTTCCAACCCAAACACCTCTGATTCTTGAAACTGGTATGTCTATAAAATAGAGAGCCAGGGTGTTCAGCCTGTGTTTTTCTCCCTACAAGCTGCACTGAGATTAAGGTAGCCAAGTGACAGACTTTTTTCAGCAGCAGCCCTAGGAAAAAAGCTAAAATAGTGTTAAAGTCATTGCTGAAGATTTGGGGTTTTGTTTAGCTAACCACAAATGCAACTGGAACCAGCCTGGTAGGATACAGTTGCAGCAGAAGCAGGCAGGTGTTAAATAGCACACCCCAGGCTTCGGCATCCTCCAGCTCGGCAGCTTTGAGGTGGTTTCTGACTAATAGACCCTGACTTCTTGTTCAGCTTTGAGGAGCCTGGGCTGACGCTCACTGAGCCCCCGTGCCCCCAGAGCTGGAAGCCACAAGAATTCAAAGCTTGGGAGGCTCAGGTCATCCCGCAAAACCGTGTCTCAAACAAGCCTGCTCCAAGCAGCAGCCCTGAAAGCAGCTCTTGCATGTGGGCAGAAGCACCCAAGCCCTAATAATTCTGTTTGTGTGAAAATGCCTCTTGAATGTTCAGCACTTTCCATGCAAACTACTGAAAAGGAATTTGATGTACAAAGCGTGCCACGGTTAGTTTCTGACAGGGCACGAGACAGCTGCTTACAGAGTAGCTCCAGGAGACGAGGTGGTGAACAGGAACACTCCAGATCTCTTCTGCAAAATGAAGCTCCCGGCCATGCAAACCCCACTTTCTGCTGGTGAGGGGAGCAGAAACAAAACCGACTTGGAGCAGAGGAATGGGGTGGGTGCAGAGAGGAGGGGCCCCAGCCGGGTCCCTGCATCCCCCAGCACATCTGGAGGCCACAGCTGGGCAAGGAGGTTGCGGCTTGCCCTGCTTTCATAGGGACATGCAGAGAAGATTTCTGGGGGAAAGGCGAAGGAATTGAAGCAGACACAAGAAATGCATGAGGCAGACAGCTCCTCCCTGCAGACCATAGGGAATTCTCCTCGGACCTGCCGTTTCTTCTCTTCTCTGCATCCCTTTGCTGCAAAACCGAGCTCTTAAATGCCGTGGGTGGGGAAGAGGCGAGTATTTTGCAGGGGCTGTCAGCACCGTGTTTTAGCTTTGGTGTGTTTTATTTTTCTTTTACAGACAACTCAAAACTGAGAACAGGGTTTTATCACAGTGTGCCTTCTCACACACCTGGTAGGAGGGAGGAGGAGGGACTTTTTTTACCTGTAGAACTGAAAGGAATTAAAGCATCTCTGCAGAGCCTAAAAACGTTATTGCTCCTGCATTTGCTCAGAAGCCAAGGAAGAACAGAGCATGATTTTAAAGCCTTCATTCTGCGCCTTTGAAACAAACACTCTTCATTCTGATAAATGATTAAAGCGCCAGCAATTTATTTTTTAAAGGAAAAGATCACAGGAATTGCAGAGCTCTACTCCCAGAGTCAGATGTGAGTTGGTCCTTGCTGAGGCTGTGCTGCTGTACTTGGACAGCTGCGTACTTCCCACTGTGGTAGCACAGGAAGCAAAAGGGCTGACCTGAAATAATGGCAATGAAATTGTAGCTTTAGTTTTCTCCATGTGCTTGATACAGCCTACGTCCAGCATTGTGACATATAGTGACACTGGGGGCAGTTATAGCCAGTTTGGTTCCTGTTTTGGTGGTTTTTTTGTGTGTGTGTGTGCTTGGGCTTAGTCGTTACAAGCAATGTTACGGACAAACATGTAGGTGTAAGATTTTATTCTTCCTCTGCAACCACAGATAATGAAGTTTTACCAACTCCCTTTTATTATGGTAATCTAAAACTGTATCCTGTAATAGGATCATAAACATTTAACGCAACTCAATGCTGTACGAAGAAAAATAGCAAGATAGGCGTCCAAGGGTGGACAAATGGATTGGAGAACAAAATCAGAGCAGCCCAGGCAAGACGTGTCCAACGCTACATGACAGGGTGCTGGGCTGTGCTGTGAGCCACGTGGGATGATTCACAGCAGGAAACATCTCTGCTGGAGGCAGATTTGTCCTTTGCAAGGCTGGTCAGGATCTGCTAGCAGGGCCTGGGGCACCGTGCTCTTCTTCCTACCTGCATGTGAGCCTAACGGGCTCCAAGAGCAGAGGGGGCCGCAGCCCTGCTCCATCCACCCCTCTGCCCTGCTCTGCCTGCCTGCACATCACCCAGCACTCTTACCCAAAGCACTTGTGGGGTTTTGCCCTGGGTTTGTCCAAAGGGTTGTGCTGAAAGGCAGCCTTCGTCTGCGTGGTGTTTTCTACAGTTTCAACGCTGGATCTGCGGGGACTTCAATGTATCAGCTCATCACTAACTTTAAAAGAAAGGGATGTTAATTACTCTGACACCATGAGAAGCAGAAATACTGCCTAACTGACATTCACTGCGTTTCAAAGAGCAGATGTATAGTATTATAGCACGGCAGTAACGTTAAGCCTGCACAATAACAACAGGAAAAGCTGATAGTAAACATCAAAATTATCTGCCTTTCACCACAGAAAAAGAAAGTTAAAGTGCAGTGGAAAGTTTTAACTGGTTTTGTAAAGCACCCCTCTCTTTCCTGCCTTAGAAACCTTCTGGTGGGGGAAGCGTTCTGACGGGAGGAGGCAGCAGGCAGCCTGCATGACCCTAATTCTGTTCTGTGAGAGCCTTTTGTTTTGTGGGGATGTGCTCATGAGGTCCAGCCCCAGCCGCCATTAAGTGCCCTAACACTTCACTTTGCTGTGCCCGAATTGGCATCCTAACAACAAACATGTAGAAGTAGCAGATGACAGATGATTCGGTTTTCTTTTTGGGCAAACCCAAACCTGGCTGGAAGCCCTGTAGTTTCTGCTGCCCTCTGTGTCACGTTGGGTATCGCTGGTGCTCAGCAGCGTGAGCCCTGGTTTATGTGGAGGGGACAAGGTGCAGAAAAAAAGGTCTGGAATGCCTTCCAAGTTGTGACACCAGCCTGGGTCTCATTAAAAACAGTAGCAAGAAATCATTGGACACTGAGTGCTTTTAACTCTGAATGAGGAACTTGACCAGCATAAGGCCAACAAAGTTATTCCTTAGTTGTTCTGCATCAGTTTTCCTTTCACAGAGCCTTTGCTGGGCACTTCTTTCTGTCCATGTTGCAATCCGTTGCCTTGCCAGCAGCTGTGGGCTAACAGATGATTAAAAGTAGCCCACTTTTTTTCCATCATTTTTTCTTTTTCAACAGAAAACTTGAAGTTTAACACACACTATATATATATATATATATAAGGACAGTGGAATAATTTCCATCCAGCGTGCTGCTTTTTTCCTTAGGGAAATGGAAGGCTCCAAGTCCAGAAGTGTGCTTCCAAAAGTAGGAAACTTCTGTTTTGTGGCAGACGTTTTTCAAGTTTGGCAGAAACCAAAATGCAAAACAAAATGTTTGGGGCTTTGATGGAAAACCTTCCATCAAATTGCATATTTTTCTGTCCAATGAGATAAATGGTAAAGGACGAGTCTTCAGGCACTATAAACTTGCATGGTAAGTTTTGTTTTCCACATTTCTCCTATTCTGCACTAGTTTAATCAGCAAATGTTCAGTAGTTTTGAGTAAATTCTGCCTTTCCCCTGCGATGTTGGCCTTAGTATTATATATGGTGTAGGTTGTGGCCCAAAATGAATAGCCTGGTATTGAGAGCAACGTAGTGCAAACTTCATTTCATCCTCACAGCTTTCATATAGTCATACTGTAGGTGAGCTTTTCTCCCCCTCTTTGCTTTGGAGAAAACGGGGAACATCGTTGTGAGAAGGGAAGCTTCAAAAATAATGTGTGATCTGGAAGAGTGAGAGCATAAATTATCGGAGGCAACTTTCAACATCTACATTTGCAAGTGTTACAATCAGACACGTTTTAGAAAGTAAACTGTAGTAGTTTTAAGATAAATGGCTCCCCAGAGGAAAGCAATAAATAGTACAGCCACACGCTCACTGTGCCTCGGCTGGGTATTTCCATTATTGATGAAAAGGTAGAAAGCAAGCTACCATTCCACAAAGCCCTTTGATCAGTGTATTTTTGAAATAACTTTAAAAATAAATTTAAAAAACAAAACAAAACAAAACAAAACAAAAAAAACCGCGGAAAGGTAATTGAAAGACTGGAAATCGTCTATGGATTTTAAATATGCATGAAAGGCAAAAAAATTGGGATGAGCACACAGTTTCCCTTGAAATCTCTCCTCTTTATGAATGATACTGCAAAAATGGTTAAATCACCAGATATCAGTTCTACTTCTGTACCTTCTGCTGCCTTTTCAGACTCTGACATCCATTGCTTCTTGCATCTATGGGCTGTAATCTCTGAGCCTTTGATGGCCTTG